GTTTTGCAGAGATGTTATAAAACGAATAGACCAATCTGAATTTGAAGGTTTTGAATACATTAACCCATTGCTGCTCTCAACAGAGGAGACTGTATGAAGGATTAAACTTTCTCAATGGACAAATAATGTGATTGATCCCGAACTTCTATCCTTAACTACAGTATATGCATGCGAGGCTGGAAAACTGATGCAAAGTTCAGAGTAAAGGCCACTGCTACATGATTTGCTGCTGGATATCAGCCACAAGGGAGATATTGGCAGTGGATTTCTCCCTGAGCAGTAGCCTACGCTCTTACTCAGCCAGAGATTGTCTGCATAGAGAAACAGGAGAGATTCACTTTTTGTGCCTGCCTCATGAAGGATCTACAGTGTGTGTTTGTTCCATCTCCCAGAAGGGACTCTGTGTGCGGAGAAACTCTTTATTTAAGGCAATCACGCAAGCAAGTCGCTTCCATTAGTGCATTAGATGCAGTGTGCTTCAGTCCTCAGAAACCAGATGAAGAAAAAATAAAAGACTAAATGCAAGTCAAAGAGCTGGCCACTCTGGGCTGATAACCTTTCTCCTCCTGTCTCCGGCAATGTGGCACTAGTAAATCTGATTTCTAAAATGAAGGGAAGCTGTGTTTTATTGGATACTTAAGAAAACTAAAACGCCTAATATATTAGTAGTGGATTGGAAGAGCTGGATGCAAGAAAACATGAAAGCATGATTTGTGCAGGAGATACTGAGTAATATCCCTTTACAATTGATTAGGTGATTGATTAGAATAAATGAACTTGGACAGTGGTGGGGAGGGGAGAATTACAAAATTAATAAAATAGCACAGCAATATTGCACTTTTATTTTTGCAACAAACTGGGTGCAGTAGCGGCAATAAGAAACCAAAACTAATAGCTGGGAGGAGAAAACAAATTTGCACATTGAATGGCTTTCTGGAAATCAAAAATGTAATGTGCCTAACTCTTAGCTTGTAGTGTATAACATTTTGCTAATTTTATCGGCTCTTATGCAGTATTCAGTGAAGACAAACCACTCAGCCATAGAATCTAAAACAATACATCCATCCCTTAGCCTTAACAGGTGAAGAAAAAAAAATGACCCTCCATACTCTTATCATGATTTTTTTCCCTGCGCAAGCACACATTTTTCTAGATGTTTAGTTGATAAAAAGCTTTATTTATTTTGTATCTTTTAGCTCTTGGTGGAGAACGAGAGCCTGACCATTAAATATTCACATTGGAAGTTGGACCAAGGGACCAGGCAATGAAAGTTGTTTTTTCACTTTTCCTGTGATGTGTATATATTAAAAACAAACTGATGTCTGTACCCGGTCATAAATCCATGTGCTCTGTAAGCTTAATATCTAAAACAGGGAAATCTAACCAGAGCACTACACACATTTGTGAACTATATTTCCCATGATGCTTGAATTGAGTTCATAAACATCTGTTATGCCAAGGTTAGTGATCCCTGCTTTACCCAAAATCTCCCATTGAGTCACCTTCAAAATGGTTCAGACTTGCTTGCAGTCATCTTCCCAAATTCAAAGTCTGCTTAATATAGCATTATAAAGGCAATTAAATTAGATAGGTTTCCACAAGTGAAAAACCTACATATGGGCTGCTACCACCCTAAATACACTGTCTATCTTGGCAATTTCTAACTGAACATTAAATAAATTTGAAAGACTGACGCACTTTTAATGTCCTTTTCCTAAAATTAACACTCCCTAAGGGTTGCATGTAGAGGAGGGTTTGGGGCAAAGTTCTAAGAATAGAGAAATGCTTACAAACATCATGTTTTCCATGGTGATCCCATGAAGAGGTTTGTCCTGAAATGCTCTGTACAAATATCACCCAAGTTTCATAGATGAATACTATCAAGTCTGAAGCAAATGACCTCTCTGTCTTTATCACCTTAATTTATACATACTAGTTTGTAATTTTAAATATACAATATTAAATCAAAGTATATCATTCCTATGATGATTTTACAGATACATATTTTAATTGTAAAGAAAAGAAATCCTATGTTTTAGATGCTACGAACATACTGTATACTTCATTAATTACGCTACCAAACACAAAATGTAACTGAGAGATGGTGGGCTGTGTGTTAGTCATCCATCCAGCACTTAAGGGGTTAAGACCAAATTGTATTGTTAGGTGTGTATTGTTGTTTTCTTTATTGTCCATTTGTAATTTATAATCATGCAGCTGTGCATGCCATGCCTTTGTGCACAGCCAGTAAGACCAAACCGCATCAAGGAAGGTGTTTTACCTCTTGGTCCTACATAACGTCACACAGCTGTTTTTGTTAACAGATGTATATTTGCAGAAAGTTTAATGAGAATACTTGATTTTATACATTTAATTTAAGGCATTACAAATGTCCCTGTGTTGCCAAATAGTTTTGTTGCTCATATGCAAATGTATGAAGAAAAAAAAGTTTTGTTCACGATGAAAGGGGGATTTTTTTAATATATAATGAAGGCTGTAATTAATTGTGTGGTTTGAGAGGGAGGGGGGGGGCTAATATATGACAAATATGGCTTGGGTAATTAGTTGTCTAATTTGGAATAGTAAATGACACTATAGCTAATTTAATGATTGTACAACAGTAAATATGTTCTTGTAGTTTTGTAAATTTAAATGACTTAAGACCTTGCTGACCAAGTTTATTGTGCAGAAGATGGTATACTAATCCATAATAATCAAGATCATTTATATTCTTGCACATTAAAGACTTTACTGAAAAGAGAAGTGTATTTTGTTTTTATTTTTTAGGAACCAAGAAGTGAGTACGTTTTGGCTTCTACATGTAGAGATGTGCATGAGAGACAAAGTATATTTTCTTGAAATCTCCAGGAGCAGATTGATCTCACGAGTTGCACACAAGGGCGGCTGTGTGCGCTACTTAAACCTTTTTGTTTTTAGCCAGTTCACCTCACCACTTGTGTATACATGATTGCCAGAGTATGCATTCATACCTACAATCAAATTTAATTTGGAATTATGCAAATTGTGTATATAGGTTTAGTGTAAACAAATTTTGTTTGCAAATAATGCCTTTAGTAAGTCTTGAAAGTCACAGCTCAGCAGCATTAAAACACACCAGTCTGTGACCTTCACGTAATTGAACCCAGAGAGTAACTGTTTAGGCCTGTCCTCTTGCAGCAGCATTGAAGGGGAGGGAGAAACTGACAGCAGCAGCTCATTCTCCCCTGTACAGGGAGTGCAGAATTATTAGGCAAGTTGTATTTTTGAGGATTAATTTTATTATTGAACAACCATGTTCTCAATGAACCCAAAAAACTCATTAATATCAAAGCTGAATATTTTTGGAAGTAGTTTTTAGTTTGTTTTTAGTTATAGCTATGTTAGGGGGATATCTGTGTGTGCAGGTGACTATTACTGTGCATAATTATTAGGCAACTTAACAAAAAACAAATATATACCCATTTCAATTATTTATTATTACCAGTGAAACCAATATAACATCTCAACATTCACAAATATACATTTCTGACATTCAAAAACAAAACAAAAACAAATCAGTGACCAATATAGCCACCTTTCTTTGCAAGGACACTCAAAAGCCTGCCATCCATGGATTCTGTCAGTGTTTTGATCTGTTCACCATCAACATTGCGTGCAGCAGCAACCACAGCCTCCCAGACACTGTTCAGAGAGGTGTACTGTTTTCCCTCCTTGTAAATCTCACATTTGATGATGGCCCACAGGTTCTCAATGGGGTTCAGATCAGGTGAACAAGGAGGCCATGTCATTAGATTTTCTTCTTTTATACCCTTTCTTGCCAGCCACGCTGTGGAGTACTTGGACGCGTGTGATGGAGCATTGTCCTGCATGAAAATCATGTTTTTCTTGAAGGATGCAGACTTCTTCCTGTACCACTGCTTGAAGAAGGTGTCTTCCAGGAACTGGCAGTAGGACTGGGAGTTGAGCTTGACTCCATCCTCAACCCGAAAAGGCCCCACAAGCTCATCTTTGATGATACCAGCCCAAACCAGTACTCCACCTCCACCTTGCTGGCGTCTGAGTCGGACTGGAGCTCTCTGCCCTTTACCAATCCAGCCACGGGCCCATCCATCTGGCCCATCAAGACTCACTCTCATTTCATCAGTCCATAAAACCTTAGAAAAATCAGTCTTGAGATATTTCTTGGCCCAGTCTTGACGTTTCAGCTTGTGTGTCTTGTTCAGTGGTGGTCGTCTTTCAGCCTTTCTTACCTTGGCCATGTCTCTGAGTATTGCACACCTTGTGCTTTTGGGCACTCCAGTGATGTTGCAGCTCTGAAATATGGCCAAACTGGTGGCAAGTGGCATCGTGGCAGCTGCACGCTTGACTTTTCTCAGTTCATGGGCAGTTATTTTGCGCCTTGGTTTTTCCACACGCTTCTTGCGACCCTGTTGACTATTTTGAATGAAACGCTTGATTGTTCGATGATCACGCTTCAGAAGCTTTGCAATTTTAAGAGTGCTGCATCCCTCTGCAAGATATCTCACTATTTTTGACTTTTCTGAGCCTGTCAAGTCCTTCTTTTGACCCATTTTGCCAAAGGAAAGGAAGTTGCCTAATAATTATGCACACCTGATATAGGGTGTTGATGTCATTAGACCACACCCCTTCTCATTACAGAGATGCACATCACCTAATATGCTTAATTGGTAGTAGGCTTTCGAGCCTATACAGCTTGGAGTAAGACAACATGCATAAAGAGGATGATGTGGTCAAAATACTCATTTGCCTAATAATTCTGCACTCCCTGTATGTGCTATTCACATCGAGAGCACAGCAGCCATGAAATATTGATAAACACATCCTCTCTGCTCCATGTGAAACACAGCATGGGAGCATCTGCAGTCAGAAACTAGAGACAACCAATCTCCCACAGAGCAAACTGAGGGTGGCTGAAGGGGAGAGCTGAGGGAGGCATAAATCTCACCTCACCTACAAATGAAAAACAATTTGTGGGTAACCCCCTCTCCATCCATATACACACACACTTGGTCATCATCACATCACCCCCTCCCCCACACATAGTCACCCTACTCACACACAGTCACATTGGCAAATTCACTCCTAGCAACATAACTACCATGGACTATAATGCTTGGAATTTTCCTTTCAATTCAGTTTTGTATTTAATTTTCTAAAAACAAAACAAACATCTTTTCAAAGCATGGGTTTAATGTAATGTATGCCCTGATCCTATAATGAAAATGAAGAACTGCTTGGTATACCATATAATACATTCATTTTTCACAATGTGGTGCAAAATATTTTGTCCAAGTGATTACCAAATAACATCAACTGTTGCTTCAGACAAGCATTGTGCAAGATGGCTGTCAATATCTAGCTGAGACAACCTGTGTGATTAAAAAAAAAAAAAAATTAGTAGAAAGAAGAAAAAAAAATCAAAGCTTAGACAGTCAGTAGGCACTAGTTAGGATTCAATAAAACTGTATAAAAGCTGTGATCTCCTGTCCTAACACCACTATTTTAAAAACTGGAAGTCATTATTGAATAATATAAATGGTTGGAATCTAATTTTATAAAAACAATAGGAGGATCAGCGCTAATTAACAAAGACAAGGCAACAACCCAAAACAAAAGGGATCCCTCTCAAACCGTTGGTAAATGGGAGAAAACAAAGATTACAGAAGCTTGGGTGCACCACAATATTTTTGTGCTACTTCTAATAATTTTAGAATACAATATGAAAAAGAACATGTAATAAAAATATATTTAGATATATACAAGCAGTAGTCCACAACAATAGTTCTTAGATGGATAGTACCCTTTTAGGTAACATAAGTTCAAGTGGTAAAATTCTAGATGAAGCGGAAGAGTCCTCTTGGAAGTATGCAAATTCTTAAAATCCCTTGATGTATTCTAGAATATAAAAGAATCAGAAAACACTCCAATGGTGCAATAAATTAATGTAACCAAGGTGGCCAAAATAAGATAATTGAAAACCTTTACAGAAATCCTAGGTGGGGATCATTCCACCAAGGCTTTATTCAAAGAGCAGTGAGGCTGCTCTATCTTTGTATTATTAATTTATCTCCTTTTAGACATATTTTATCCTATAGAGAGCACGATCTGTTGCCTTTTATCCTCGTTTTTTGGGGTTCCTGGAATTTCCCTAAAAGCTGAAGACACCTCTACCATATCCTATAAGTGGAGATTATACCACTGAATGTCCAACACGCTAGAGCTGGTCATAGCTCTCTATAAATAAGTAACCAATTGTTACCTTATTTTATCCACCTTGGTTACATTAACTTACTGCACCATTGGAGTGTTTTCTGCCTCTTGTCATTTTATATTCTGGAATACATCAAGGGATTTTAAGAATTTGCATACTTCCAAAAGGATTCCTCTGCTTCATCTAGAATTTTACCAATCTGTTACCTAAAAGGGAATATTGTTGTGGATTTTTGCTGGTATATGTCTATATCTACCAATCTTTTTTTATTTAAATTTTTTTAATAAAGTTATTATTAGAAGTAGCACAAAAATATTGTGGTGCAGTCCAGCTTCTGTAATCTTTATCTAATTTTATAAGTTGACAAATATTCATAAGTAGGAGCCATGCATATATTAGGACCTCACATGATGTCTGTTACATTATCGGGACCAGATGAAGGTTTCCCAGGGACCTAGGCAAAATGCAACATCGCTGCCGCCCTCTATAGCCATGGCTACTGTTCTGTGTGTGGTGGTTGAATTTTGTGAGTAGGAGAGTCGGAATGTGGTTTTGTCTTTTTCTCCCTCCTGTCTACCTATCCCTGGTGCTATGTTGGACTCAGAGGTACACAATACAGAAGCCCTAGAGTCTGCACCAATATTAGATCACTCTAAGAGCTCAGGTAATGACCCAGACAGAGCTTGTGCAAGGAGTTTTGGCTACAAAGGCAAAGATATATTAAAGTCTTATACCCACTTTAGTGTATTTTACTCCCTTTTGTGTAACTTATTTCCTCTGCCCCAGCACCCGGCAGTCACTTTGTGTAACATGGGTTCAAGGACCGAGGTAAAAGGCTTTTCCTTATCCTCAGTCTACCGCCTCTCATAGGAAACTCTACTCCCAGCAATCAGCTTCTTGTCAGAATGGTTAGAGGGGAAAGAAAATGCAACGCTACTCTTGAGTGACTTGCAGGTGGGGTAACTGTGCCCTACGCCCGCTTTTCCACTGGACATTTCACCCCCATAGTCCTGTATGCCCTGTGTTGGCAGCACCACTCTAGAGATGTTGGGAACCATCAGGGTTCTGTGAGGGAGCTCTTAAAAGGTGGTTTGCACTGGTGATGTGCAGACTATAAAGTTCCCTTGAGAGGGCACTAGGCCAGCAGGGAGCTATTTTTTTTCCATGCCAGCTTGAAGAGGGCCCCTTTACAGTCAGTGCTAGAGCTCCAGGTCCTAAACTGTTGCATATGCTGCTTTATTAATAATCCGGCTCTAACCATTGTTAGCTCCAGATTGGCGTTCGGCGCTGCCAAGTTGTGCCATTAAATACCTTTAAGATTTTATATAAACTTACCCCTTAGAGAACTGTTTCAGGCACATGGGACAGTTCTCTAATAAATCCACATTTTCAGCTGCTCTAGGTGCACTTTGATCAGTTTCCTTTACTTCAGAATCTCCCCAATTATCTTCTTCCTCTAAGTCCTTCATTACAATGTCAGTATTTTCTGTTTTTTGAACTTGTGTGTCTACTTTTAAATATAGATCCTGAGACTTATTCTGAATCCGGTCATATTCAAACATTTTAGTAGAATCCATTTTTGAAAGTGCCTGGTTTCCTGAAATTTGCCGTCTTAAGTTTTGTGATGAGATTTCTTTTGGGGGATGTATTTCTTGTTTCACAACACTAAGTTTACTTTTCAACTGGTAAACCGAGCATTCGGATTCAAGGTCTTTTGCAGAGGTTATCCCAAGGTCATCTTGTAACGACTCTGTTTGATTATTGGCTGCATGACAGTCTTGCATATTGCCACTATTCTGGTATAATGGAGAGCCAGGTAATTCTTTGGGGAAGGGAACCCATTTAAATTCGTCTTGTCCAATGTTAAACACGTCACATCCATCTGATTCCTCACTTGTGGTTTCGGTGTTCTGAAAAGAAAACCTTTAGATAGTTACAGTTTAAACAGAAATGCAATACGTTTGAATTTAGTTGTCTTGACACTATAGCATTAGGGAAAAAAAATAAATTAAAGCGGTCACTAATCCAGGTAAAAGCAAATTGTGCTATTTAAATGTTATTGGAACAGTATCTTACTGCAGACACAGTGCAGTCCTTAAAGCATCACTGTTACTTGCGATAGGAATACTTACATGCACTTCCATCATCATTTTTGGTTTTATAAGGGTTCATCTGCCAGGGAGCTTGTCAGTGATGTGCACGTGTACAAAAGACTGTCTAGGATAAGAGACTGTGTGGTCTATTACAAATTTGCTTTTGTAATATTGTCTGTTTCCATTCAGCTCAATTCTCCTGTATTCAGTTGTCAAAATTCCTGTGTGGTTCACTGGATCCACTAAGAACCAAATGCTTAGCTACTTGAGCCAAATAGATTTTCAAATGGAACTGATTGGTGCAGTGAGATTCATTTGAAAATAACACAAACCGAATTCCATCTGAATTGTAAACAAATTCTCCTACTGCAAGAAGTAAACTTTAAAAAAAGAGTCATTAATACCAAGTTTGGGGTGGGAGAAATCTCAGATTGGGGTATCCTTAGTGTTAAAGGAGTTTGGGTTGAGTATCATTAGGTTGATGTAGGATTAGGTGTAATTCCCCTGGTTTATGTAAGAGATATTGGAACACTAGAAAGAAACCAGTTTGGTTGTTTTTGAATAGCTGAATCAACCATATCATGTGGAGAGTCTGACTGGAAAAGACAACCCAACTGCAGATGCATAAATGTGCAAATTTGGTTGAAATAACCAAATATTACAACTGGAATTTGAAAATGTAATTTAATTTGGTTACCATTCTGCGATTAGTGTAAAGACCTCTGTGGGTCTTCCGCAGAGTACCTTGCTTGTGTCTGAGGTAACACAGGCGTTTGACGAGCAAAATGTCTTTTCTCACCCACCTTCATGAGCGAGGTGTGGATGAAGACGCTCCTCCTAACTGATACATGTTGGTAGATTGCCACTTAAATAAGACAAAGTAGTCCCTACTTTGTCTTGTTTGTTTGGATTGCAATTTCAATGAGAAATCATTTTTAAAAGATTCTATGTTAATTAAAAACTGAAGGATCAGAGGGAAGGAGGCAGAAGTTTCCTTATTTAGTTTTGTACTACACAAATTGGATTTTAAATGAAAAAAATGATGTTCATAAACTGTGAACCACATAGGAATTAAAGGTTTCCTTTTGCAGTAAATCCCTCTATTTCAAAAGTCCAAATGCAATTAGACAAATGGCTGGTCAGCTGTTTTTTTTTTTTGGGGGGGGGTGGGGGTAGGTAATATGCAAGGGTTTGGAGACATCCTACTCTCAACACAAGAATAAAAAAATTAAAAAAAAAGTTGTACGTTCCTATGGGACAATTTTTCAGGTAGTTTATCACCTCATTAACATTGGGCGTTTCTATGGCAAATATTTGAAAACATCCTTGGTTCTAGGCATAGGAAGACTGACAGGGCATTTTAAGCATGATGCAAGCACAGGGGCTGGTAAAGAGACTAATACTGCTTAGATCTACATGAACAGATGGTGCCCAATAGTATTTTACATAAATGATTATTTTACCCCACAAAGCAGAGCCTGTAAAAAATAATTGTGTAACCATGGTAACAGTAAAAACACTTCATTATACATTGTCATTAGCTGATTTTATTTTGGGCATTTAATATAATGCTATTAAGAATGATTTAGTTTTGTTTCCTCGCTAAGCAGTGCTGTTAGTGCAGATAATGGTGGTGAACGTTGGGTTAGTACATTACTCTTATAACTACAGTATTATGAGAAACATGCTCAATTTTTGCCATCTACTATGGCAAGATTCAGGTTGTTGGCTGTTCCATATAAAATATATAACTTATAAATTATAGCTACAGGTGTAAGTAATCTTAAAAGAATGGCTGAACGGTCTCTTCAAGCAGTTACTGAGCAGCAAAGCCACATCATCTGCAAACTAAAAAGCCCTTTGTAGATGTATTTAATACATCATTACAATCTAATTTGATGTCTATTGATCCCTTTGCCACCAGTGACCTGTAACATATTGCATTTGATTTATCAATGCAGCCATGTCTAACAAAGGTGACATTACACCCACTGCAGAACTAGAAACCTGGATTTAATTCTATACTTTGGGGGGGGAAAAAGAAGCCTAATTGGCTAAAGACAAAATTACACTTATGCTTATACTTTTCAGAGGTCCGACATTGTTCTATGTACACTCCTTGTTTTATTGATTGCATGTAATATTCTAATTTACTGAGATTGTGGATTTGGGGTTTTCATGAGCTGTAAGCCATAATCATCGCACTTATGATAAATCACGGCTTGAACTATCTTGCTTTGCATGTAATGCGTCTATCTCATATCAGTTTCCCTTTTACGTTGCATTACTGAAATAAATGAACTTCTGCACGACATTCAAATTTTTCGAGAATCACCTGTATGTACCTGTGAGAATCTCTTTACTCGAGCATGCTCAGTGTATAGCTGTCCCTGCCAGGTACTTGCATTAAAAATGAGTTACCCTGTCTCCACCAGTGTAAGCCAGTGCACTCTGATGATACAAAAAAACAAACAAAACACCACCACCACACCTCAGGTGATTAAGGGAGGCTACACAAACATTTCAAAATGTAGTATGCTGGGATTACAGTTTAACAGTTTGCCACAGTGATCAAAACCACAACACAAATATTTACCTTTGGTAGTTTGACACCAAATCTATGACAATGTTTGTAGCATTATAATTTGTATTTGTTTTGTCATTTACACACTCCCAAAAGAAACAGTAGAGTGGCCAACAGTGAAACATAGTGGAAGGATGGCTACTACTACAAAGAGTAAAGTTGACACATATACAGACACACACACACACACACACACAATTATACCGTACGTTTGGAATGTTTTCTTGCAGTTTCATTTTTACAAACTATTAGGATTCTCCATACAAAATACACTATATAATACAGTGTGAGGTATCCAGGAGCTAATCAGTAAGATGGATGAATAATAAATATATGCTTAATCTTAATGAAACATTAACAGAGCACTTTGGTATCCTAATAGCAGTATGAGTTAAAGCAATGTATGATGAATATATATGGTATAGGTGCCCCTAACCCTGCTTATAAGAATATTACAGGGTGGATGGCACCAATGCCAAATAATATACTTTTATAAGGATAAAAGATCAAGATTATGTCCACATGTAGTGAAGCATACCTGTATATGGAACTGGTTGCTGAAAAGCAATATTGCTAAAACACTAAAAAGTGAGAGAACAACTGGAGATATAAAAAAAAAGTTTATTAATAAAAATATAAAAATGAAGATACATAACAGATCCTACCCCGTGAGATCAGTGCTTACCCCTCGATGTGAGGTCTGTAGTGGAACGCACGCCGTCCTCACTGGCGGTAGGGATACAGAGGACAAACTTACCATCATCATCCTCATCCATCGCGGTCTGGTTTTAAGGTTCTCTTGCTATCCCACTGTGCTGTTATTTGTATCTTCATTTTTATTAATAAACTGTTTTTTTATATCTCCAGTTGTTCTCTCACTTTTTAGTGTTTTAGCGATATTGCTTTTCAGCAACCAGTTCCATATACAGGTATGCTTCACTACATGTGGACATAATCTTGATCTTTTATCCTTATAAAAGTATATTATTTGGCATTGGTGCCATCCACCCTGTATTATTCTCATAAGCAGGGTTAGGGGCACCTATACCATATATATTCATCCTACATTCCTTTAACTCATACTGCTATTAGAATACCAAAATATTCTATTAACGTTTCATTAAGATTAAGCATATATTTATTATTCGTCCATCTTACTGATTAGCTCCTGGATACCTCACACTGTATTATATAGCGTATTTTGTATTGCTTTAAAAGGTTTTGGTGAATCCCTTTTTCCTTTCCAGTTTTAGAGCTACGATCTTCTGTCTTATTCCCTCTTTTCTCTGTATATTTTATTTTTGAATATCAGGATATTTTGCACTTTATTAGGATTCTCCAATCTGTTGGAAAGTCTGATTTATCAAGATATTGTTCTTATTACAACTTGAACATCTTTAAAAAACAGTCTGTGCATAAGATGTAAGTGTGAACAAAAGGAATGCAAATTTAATAAAAGTGCAGCTGATACCTGGTATGATATTCCAGTTGATGAAGAAAATAATTTTGTAAAGCATAAAAAGAGAATTAAAAACCAAAAAAAAAATAAACAGTCTAACATTTCATAATGATCAGATGAAATGAGAAACTAGTTCTCATGTTCTGTTCTATGTTTTTGAATTGCAATATTGGCCAGTATATTGCGGTTTACGTTATTTTATGACAACCGTAGCTGGATTTCTAGAGCAATGTACCTTATTGCCAAAATCTGGCAGACTAGGCACCGATTCCCATCCCAGATTTGTCAAGTTTGGATTCGCAGACCGGAGAACCTGCCTCCACATTTGTTCAGCAGCAGTTAATTCGATTTCATCAAACCAGGAACCGGTGGAGTTCCTTCTCCTGAAAGACAAAGAGAACACAATAAGTGAGTGTAGAGAAGGCTCTAGCATGAGCTAGTTCTGTCAGATTAAATTAATTAGCATCGTGACTTCATGAAACAATTGGAATGGCATTTTTAAAAAATGGTATTCTTCCGAACAAGCAGTATGTAGCAGTCTGACAGACACCTCAAAAGCATTTGACAAAAGCCTACATCGACATGACTGATCAGTGTTTGTTTTTGGAGACAGGGATGTAAGCACAATTTTCAGTTTACTCTTTGACTATGAAAAACAGAAACATGAATATTATATTAAGTATAACAAAATGAACTTCCACATCTAAACATACACTTTTTCAGTCAGGTTCAGCCAAGTACACTTGGACAACTATGCCAATCTAGAAAACAAAACAATGGCACGTTCCCGTGTAGATTGGACTATTTGAATTAGAATGCTAGGTTTGTAAATTATGTCTTTCTTTTTTTTTTTCGTATGCAAAATGTTAGCAGACATGTAACAGGTTTGAAAAGAGGGTGCATTGTTGCATACGCAGAGGCATAGTACGTCAAACAAACAAGAGTAAGGCTTATTACATATTTCGTGGTTGTTCCGACCTGGGTAATGGTGGGCAATTCCTAACCTCTGATAGAGAACAGTTTACCCACACAGGGGGAGTGTTGTATATTTGGTAGATGGTTTGAGATGCGGGGTTGTTTCATCGGTAGCTTTGCAACATTAGCCTACGCAGAGGCTTATAACGTATGATCCCTGTGATTTATGAGGCCGGCATATAGTTTTGTATTATACCTTTCTTAAGCAGATTGGGTATGTGGTCTCATGGGGCATAGCGACTATGGTGATATTGTTTTACAATACATTGCATAGTGGTTGCTATTGCGTGCCTTCCATAGGGAATTGGTTAGCCGATGTTAGGGTGCTACATAATGTATCTAGGTCAGGTTTCGTAGAGGAGTAAAGCGGTCCGTTCTCTGTTGGTTGTCTTGTAGAAGCGTCCGTGTTTAGAATCCGTGTCGTGGCGCCCTTGTGTTATTTCTCTCGGTTCGAGGCTGTCTCCGGGTTGGGGTCAGTCGGGCTATCTGTGTGTGGTTGTGGGTGTGGGGGATGTGTTCTTGCGTGTGTGCCGCTGGTGATGTTGATTTAGTAGTTTGGGGGTGATGGCTTATGGTCCCGATGGGTGGGGGACTTGTTTGGAAGGCTTCTATGGGTAGTGTCAGCCCCCCTTTATCTAGCGTGGTGCCCTGGTCCTTGAGTCTCATTCACCCTGGATCTCGGTCTCATCCTTCCCATGTCCACGGTCGGGCAGGTTCGTGTCTCGACTCATGGGACAATGTGCGCGTTGGGGGTGCTGAGGTGGCGTGTGATTGTGTAGGGGGTAGGTCTTGGGTGTCCTCCCTCCTCCTCTCTGCTTGGGCGTGATGTTGTCACTTGTGTCTTGAGAAGGTTAGGACCATGGGGGTGGGTCGGGTGTTCTTTGTGGTACGGCATGGTCCTGTGGTGGAATGTCTGTGTTTATTCTGTCTTTGTGTTTTGTAGGGGGGTATGTCATGTTCCTGGGGGGGGGGTTTAGGAGTGGGGTCTTCCCACGGGGCCCGGGCACAGTATGTTGCATGTGTTCCCATTGCGATCTTCAGGTGTCGCTGCCTTGGTCCTCAGGTGTCCTGTCTCCAGGTGTGTGTGCCGTGATCTCCTGGTCTGCGTAGTGCTGTGATCCGTAGGCCCTCAACCGTCGTTGTCCGTCCTTCGTGGGTGTTGTCCTGGGTTTTGTCTAGCGGTTAGCCATTGTAGCCAGTGGAACCATGTCTTCAGGTACGTCTGGGGTCTTCCTTTTGCTGTCAGGATCATTTCCTCTATGGTCCTTATGTCCTCTACCCTTGTTATCCAGTCCGTCAGGGTTGGTTTTATGGATTTTTTCCAGAATGTTGGGATTAGGCTACGTGCCGTATTCACTAGGTACGGGGTGATCGTTTTTTTGTAGGCGGGGGGTTGTAGAGGTGTCAGGTGTAGTAGGTAGTTTTCTATGGGGTTGTCTGTGAGCGTTGTAACCACCTGGTGTATTTCGTGCCAGAAAGGTTTGATCCGCGGGCATGTCCACCAGATGTGGTATAGCGTGCCCAGTTCAGTTCCGCATCTCCAACATTCTGGTGTGCTTGTGTCATACATAGTGGCGAGTTTCTCTGGTGTTTTATACCAGTGCGATATTTTTTATCCCGATTCTTGGTATCTGGTGCTTATGGATGTTTTACGTGTCATCGTGAATGCTGTGGTCCATTGGTCTTGGGTCAGAGGATGCCCAAGGTCTCTTTCCCAGTATCTGGTAAAGTAGGGAAGTCGGGTGTCTCCCTGTGGGGAGTTTAGCAGTCGGTACAGGAGTGATATGGCGTGCGGCGTCAGGGCATCTTGCGTACAGATGGCCTCAATCGTGGTCAGGGGTCTAGCAGCCGAGGGTAGGTTGGGTTGGGGATTCGCTTAAGTGTGCTCACCAATTGGTGATATCGGAATTTAGTCATGTGGTCAGGAGGGGTGGGTGTGGGCATTTCCGTTAACGTGGGAATGGTCCCGTTCACTAGAACGTGTTGTAGCCTGAACGGGGATGGTAGGCCCAAGTTAGTCAAGGTCTGGGAGTTGTTGATCATATGGAATTGTGTTGTGCCCGAGAGTTGGTATAGAGGGGAGACAGGTGGGGCGAGGTCCGGGTTCCCTGCCATCCTGCTCCACACCTTCAGTGTTGCCACTATCGTGGGGTGTCTGGTGTCATATCTTCTCGTCTGGCCTGGGAGTTGCCACGGGAGCGAGCTCAGTGGGTCTTTTGAGAAGCTGGGTTCTATGGCTATCCAGAGTTTGTCTTTTGTCCCCAGGGTCCATTCGGTTATACGTTGTAGGTGGGTAGTCTGGTATTTGGTCAGGTCCGGGAGTCCCAGTCCGCCCTGCGGAATATATAGTTTTTAACATTTACACTAGGTAGCAGAAATATGTTTGGACAAGTTGGTCACCCTCTGCTGCATGGAAATTGGCCAGAGATAGAGAGTAGCAATAATGTCCTATTTTGCCTGATCATTATGTAAAGCTTAAAAGGGACACTATAGTCACCAAAAAAACCTTTGCTTTATGAAGCAGGTTTAGTGTATAGATTATGCCTCCAGTCTCGCTGCTCACTTATCTGCCATTTAGGAGTTAAATCGCTTTTGTTTCTGTTTATGCAGCCCTAGACATACCTCCTCTGACTGTGACTGACACAGGCTGCATGAAAACAAAATGGTTTCATTTTCAAACAGATGTAACTTATTTGTTTTATTTCTTGCTCTGTAAATTGAACTTTTATCACAGACAGGAGGCTCCTGCACGGTCTATCAAGCTATTAACAGAGCAGGAGATAAGAATTCTAACACACAGAATGCAATAACGGAAGTTTTACCTGGAAGTGTTTAAGAAGGCTGTGCATGTCATGTGCAGGGACGCATGACTAGAGCTGCATGAACAAAGTTTAAATGGAAGAAAATTGAGCAGTTTGTAAATACAGTTTGAGAATGATTTAACTACTTACCTGGGATCCACCACACACCTGCCACCTTAGCCGCCAAAAGCTCCTGCACAGGACTCAGCTGATGACCACAGCTGATACACGGCAAGGCTTACCTCAGTGGAGCTCCCAGGGGAGGCAGATGCGGGTGCCCAGTAGACTCCAAGGAAAGTGTTAACCCATTCCCAAATGGTTTGACTACTAAACCTGGGAGGGCACTCCTGGTACCAAAACCACTGTAATAAAATGAAGGTAATCAAAGGCATGGGACAGAATTTGTGAATATTTTGCAACACCACCATTTCTTCATCGAAGACAAAATAAAGAGACTCCAATTAAAAAAAACTGCTACCAAAAATGATGTTCTAAGGGTTAACAATGGATGGACCCATCATAGTCTCTGAGAACCTACTGAAATGTATCAAGGAAGGGACAGAATATTCCACGCAGGACAAATCTTTAACTACACTCAAAGAGATCTGGCACTATCTAAATTACCAGACTATCAATCTCTAGATATGGTCGATAAGACAGAAGGCTTTTACATTCAAATTGTTGAAACAAAGGCTTTTCTCAATACCTCATTGGAGAAAATTCAAACTATTTGTGGCTGAAATGATGGACAGAGAAAGCACTTCAGTTTGCACTCACTCTGAGGAAGTGTCTCAGATTCTGCAGTAAGCAGGTGGTGAGTCTCCTTACCTTAAAGGGACATTATAGTCACCAGAACAACTACAGCTTATTGAATTTGTTCTGATGAGTAGAATAATTACCTTTAGGCTTTTTGTTGTAAACAATGTCTTTTCAGAGAAAATGCAGTATTTACATTACAGCCTAGTGATAACTTCACTGGCCACTCCTCAGATGGCTGTTAAAGATCCTTCCTGGGTCATGGCTGCCTGAAATGCATCCAAACATTCAATGTCTCCTCCCTCTGCATGCAGGCACTGATTCATTAATTCAATTCATCTCTATGAGGAGATGCTGATTGGCCAGGGCTGTGTTTGAATCATGCTGGCTCTGTCCCTGATCTGCCTCTTTGTCAGTCTCAGCCAATCCTATGGGGAAGCATTGTGATTGGATCAGGCCACCAAGGGGGGCTAGATGGTGGTGTTAACACTATACGATCAGGAATAAAGAACTTCAGCCTGAATGTGTCCTCTTTATTCATTTTATAAAAAGTGAATAGATCAGTAGACTTTTCTAAATTAATGTGAATAGATCAGTAGAGCTTTGAGCACCTGCCTTGCAAAAACTTCTCATTAAATGAACACTATAGTCACCCAGACCACTTCAGCTCAATGAAGTGGTCTGGGTGCCAGGTCCCCCAGGTTTTAACCCTTCACATGTAAACATAGCAGTTTCAGCTAGGGATCGACCGATTATCGGTTTTACCGATATAATCGGCCGATATTCTGTATTTTCGGCAATATCGGTATCGGACAATTCAGATACCGATATTGCCGATAATACCTCCTAGGACCGCTGGGCTCATTACAAGCCCGGCGGTCCTGGGGGTGGGGGGGGCGGAGAGCAAGCACTTACTCACCTCCCGGCAGCTCCTCCGGCTCCCCAGTGTAACTCTCGCGAGACCTGCGGCCGTCAGAGCGTTGTGCGACACGCTGGCCGCGAGAGATACACTGGGGAGCCGGAGGAGCTGCTGGGAGGTGAGTAAGCGCTTGCTCTCCGCCCCCCCCACCCCCAGGACCGCCGGGCTTGTATATGTACACAAACACACACTATACAAACACACACACTCTGCATTATATAAACACACTACACTCACTATACACACACTCTGCATTCATTATATACACACACACTTTGCATTTAGTATATACAGCATTCACTTTACGCACACTACCCACACACTACACAAACACTCTGCTTTCATTATATACACACTACACTAATACACACTGCATCCACTACACACACTAGACAAATACACACTGCATCCACTACACAAACACACACTGCATCCTCCACACACACTACACAAACACACACTGCATCCTCCACACACACTACACAAACTGCATCCTCCACACACACTACACAAACACACACTGCATCCACTACACACAGCTCCCCTGTCACACTGCATCCACTACACGTGGCATGTATATTTTGTGCATTTACCTTTAGAAATAGTTTTTATTTTCCAAAATGGTAAATGTACAAAATATCGGCAAATTATATCGGCTATCGGCCTGAAAGTTCACAGAATATCGGTATCGGTATCGGCTCTAAAAAATCAATATCGGTCGATCCCTAGTTTCAGCAGTTACATAGTTAATCCAACCTCTAGTTGCTGTCTTCCTGACAGCCGCTTCATTGAGGACGTTGGCGGGGGAGGAGAGGTCTCCAGCGCCGAGTGAACCCGGCACTAGATAAAGGAAAGCTGCTGAAGGGGTTTTAACCTTTCTCTATGTAACTCTATAGGTGCATGTAGAATGAGGTCGGATCGCGATCACCTCCTTGCACTACTCTCTGTTATATTTTTTGTTTGATTTTTATACCATTTTTTCATTTATGTTCCCAGTTGTTGCTTTGGCAACCCGAATGATCCTAATGGAATTACTACATACGTGTGGGGAGAGGGGCTACCACCTTAAGCATTAACCTATTTAAATGCACACTTAATGAAAGCATATCACCTTTGAAAAATGTTGGTCGAAACGTTGGGTGCTTTGTGTGTCTTGCTCGGAGTCTCTGGTACATAGAAAGAGGTATACCATTATGCAGTATTTTTTGTTGTCCTTTATTTTTGTTACCATTTATTATGATTTTGCTATTTCGCTTTGTTGTGTAAGTATTATTGTTGTATACGGATATTGCTTAGCCTATATAATCATTTGACGGATTAGTAGGTCTATCCCATTTGGGAAGTATATTTATTTGGATTTACATGTGTATATAGATTATATATTCTTTCAGGTGATATTCAATAAAGTATTTATTTTTTTTTTATACGCATTAGGAGTGCGGTTGGTATTTATTTATAGCTCCTATATCTGACCACTAGGGGAGTGGTTTGTCCAAATATCTGCACCCTGTTCAAACTTTTGCATACTACATTAGATTGTATGCCCCTACTCATACTAATCACTGTTAGAATATGGTCTGGGTTGACATAGGAGAAAAGGCGAGCTTATGTACACAACCTGTTGCCTAAAATGATGCAAGCTCAGTATCTTTTCAGTGTAAGAGAGTCTCTAGGTATAACGGTCCACGTTTGCATCACAACGTGCCACACCGCCGTAAATCAGTAGAGACAGGTAACAGATGTTGAAATTGCTGCAGGAATGATTCCTGTGGGACCCACGTATGAAAATGGGATCAGGCCTATTGCAGAGAATCCCCAGAGAACTCCTGTATACTCTGATTCCTGGAGAATGGTATAGGAAGTCTGACATTTTTATTTTGACAATCTGATCTGCTGATAGGAAAAACACTGCTTCTCTTGGGTTATAATAGGTTCCAAGACAAATCCTCTGCTGCATTGTAATGAGGCTGTTGAAAGCAGCCTTCTCCACATTCCGCAACAACTATAGGGAAAAAAGCAGTTTTGGGCATTTTTCCAAGTGGGACTGACTGGTGCCAGTAGTAGGATATCTTCCAAGAAGTGAAATATCACAATTCCCAAGATTCTGATCTTTGTGACCATGGAAACCAGAACCTTGGAAAAGACAGTGTGTCATTGCTTTACATCCAAAGATCTGCTGTTGATTCTTCCCTGGCTTTGAGTAAATGTAAATGTTTTGCCCCAACTTTCATGGCCGATGAATGCAAACATTCTAAAAACATCCTTTGCCATTTTCCCAGAAGAGACTTCCTTAAAGCAAATTCTTCTGGAAGGCTGGCCTCCCCTCCAGACCTTATTCTCTTCTTGGATAGCAGAACTGACTCTTAAAAGGACTCAGATTCCTGAAAGGATCTTCTGTCCTGACCCCTACGTCATCTCTCATGTTGAAGAAACTAATGACTTCCTACAACCGTTTTTTAAAAACAGTAATTCATGATTTTCTAAACAATAAGTTTCCTTAGAAGGAGAGGGTGCATAAGCTGTTCTTAGCGGGCATTAACGCTATGTCAGTAGACCTAATGCTGTTCTTGAGGCTATAGAAAGGGTTGAATTCATAGAAACAGTATGCTCTAACACACTAATGCTTCTACTTAAAACTGAAGATAGTAACTGAAAAAAGCCCACTGCACATGGCTATGGAGTTCTCCACTAAAACTGTCAAGACAGACATTCCTAAGAGCTCCTTTGTTCTGTAGCCCAGCAAACATTGTGGCTCATTTCTCATGCCCTTTTAGGACATGGGAATGCTATCTGGACCTTAGCCCATCCTGTGGACCACTGCTACCCTTCAAGTTACCACAGCCCCCTAAGATAAGCCTTCCACGTGAGAAACGATAAATTTCTCAATCTTTAAGAATAATTAAACTTCGGTAAGACGCAAAAGAAAAAATTTTTTAGGAGAGGCCAGAAAAACAAAAAACAAAGACTGTGAATGTTTGACTTATTTAGTTGAATTTACTCCTTTCCAAACAGTGATGAGGGGCAAGGCTACCTTTATGACAGAGTTGCCGTGGATACGGACATTAATATATACTCCCTACAGGCCTACACTACCTTCTTTTACTTTACTTATTTTATTAAAACAAAATACACAACCCACAGTCATAGATAATTGTGCACCTGTATTCACTCTGACATTTATGAATTGTACTGATTTCTACATTCGTGTTCATTTTTGGTTATTTTGTGTTATGATACTGTAGTAGTAAACTATTATCTTGTTTTAAAGCTTAGCACACTATTATCTAACATGCACTTCAAGGTTTATATTTCGAAACAGCTTACAATGTAATAATTTTACATTTTATACTTCTACTGTAAACTATTTCTGCACAGCATCTTTTCCCACCTAGAAACACAGACACTATTATCAAGCTTGAACAAACACAACCTAGAAAAAACACATTTTGAAGCTATGGTACTAAAAATGGGCACAGTAGTAGCACTACATAGAAAAACAACGCATTGAGGAAAACATAGATCTTATTTTGGTAACAAAACAATGCTTTCATTTTGGGGTTCCCTAGAAAACACTATTTCCAAACGCACATGCTGTTGACAGCTGTCTTCACACATTATATGACCTGCACACACTGTTGAACTCAGTCAGCTTTTCTATGTGTGTCCATTCTTTACTATATCTGACATTTCAGTACATCAAATGAGGTAAACACTCGAACAACAAGAACCTAAGTGTCTTCATTCAATCTCAATATGAACTACTCGAAAGGCTTAAAATAGACTGAAGTGTTGAACTGGAGAAGGTCCACAATGGACAAACATATTTTAAAGTGGAACTCTAAGAGTGCAGTTGTTAAAGCCAACATATTACATAGTTACATAGCTGAAAAGAGACTTGCGTCCATCAAGTTCAGCCTTCCTCACATATGTTTTTGCTGTTGATCCAAAAAGGCAAAAAAAACCAGTCTGATGTGCTTCTAATTTTGCAACAAACTAGAAATAAAATTCCTTCTTGACCCCAAAATAGCAGTCAGATGTCTCCTTGGATCAGGCAGCTATTACCCCACTAATTAGAAATTATATCCCTGTACGTTATGTTTTGGAAGTATTTATTGAATTGCTGTTTAAACATCTGTATGGACTGATAAAACCACCTCTTAAAGCACCACCTCTTCCTTATAGTTCTTACTGTAAAAAAACTTTTCTTTGCCTTAGATGAAATCTCCTTTCTTCTAGCCTAAATGCATGACCTCGTGTCCTATGTATAGCCCTGTTTATCAATAGATTTCCAGATAATGGTTTGTATTGGCCCCGAATATATTTGTATAATGTTATCATATACCCTCTCAGGCGCCATTTTTCCAAACTAAAGAGATTTCAAAATTTTAACTAAAATGCTCCATTCCTTTTAATCAATTTTGTAGCTCGTCTCTGCACTTTTTCTAGTGCCATAATATCCTTCTTTAGCACAGATGCCCAAAAATATTCAAGGTGTGGTGTTACCAGCGATTTATAAAGAGGCAAAATTATATTTTCATCCCGAGAATTTATGCCCCTATTTATGCATGACAAAACCTTACTGGCCTTAGCAATTGCAGATTGACATTTCATATTGCTGCCTAATTTGTGGTCTATAACAATTCCCAAATCTTTCTCATATGTGGTTATCTCTAATTCACTACCATTTAGGGTGTAAGTTGCTTGTGCATTCTTGACCCCGAAGAGCATAACGTTGCATTTCTCTACATTAAATTTAATTTGCCATTTTAGTGCCCAGTCCCCCAATCTATCTTAATCCCTCTCCAGCAAAGCAATACCCTGCTCACATTTTACTACTTTACAAAGTTTTGTGTCATCTGCAAACCCTGATACGTGGCTTTCAATGCCTATTTCAAGATCATTTAAAAATATGTTAAATAGAAGTGGTCCCAAAACAGAACCCTGAGGCACATTTTATCATTATCAAGATGAAAAATTAAATATGTAACAATTACCTGAAATATGGCATGCATATTTTGCATATAATATCAGGCCAAGCCAGACATTTTTTGTATCCAAATTAATATATAATATATTAAATTTTGTATATAATTTAACATATATTAGGCCAAGCCAGTTATTTTTTTGTATACAAATTAAGGATACCTTATTTGTATAACATAATAGGACATTTAAAAAAAAAAAATATATATATATATATTATAAAAATTATATATAACAAGGGAGAGAAGACTTGCTAAATAACTTAATTTTAGAAGAAAAAAAACTGTTAAATGTTTTGGTTCAAGAACTGGACTTTAATCAAGACACAAATCACAAAACAATAAATAGGTACACCCTCATCAAAATGGGGTAAAGACATAGGACACCCATACACCTGTGCAATCTATTACAGTGAAGATACACAAAAGTGAGAATGTGGCGATACCACCATGAAAGGCATATTAGTTTAAAGCTACCTCTCCAGACTATAAAATACTAAAATTGCTTAGACTTGATATGTGAAGCAAAAAAGTAGTGATATTAGCTAGAGAAAAGTAAGGGATAGATTCCCCACGTAGATACGGTACATCCTCCACCAGAATAGCCTAGTAAGAAAATAAAAGCACATTAAAATAATACATATAAAATACAATAAATGAATGCACTAAGAGTACCAACGGGGTAGGAAAATCATGGGAACTAATAATTAAAAAGATATGCAAGTTATAACGCTCTCCAAATCTAAAAAAACCATGCAGACTATTCTTCTCATTCAGCCCTCTTGAGGAAAGGGTATCTACACTGATTAGTCACAACAACAATAAATACCTGCCTAATATCGTGTAGGTCCCCCTTCATGCTGCATTGAGGCATGAACTCCACAAAACCCCTGAATGTGTCCTTTGGAATCTGGCACCAAGACATTAGCAGCCGGGCATATAAGTCCTGCAAGTTGCGAGATGGGGCTCTATGCAGGTTCACTAATTGTCCTTTCTTGCACCACTTTTGGTAGATACTAACCACTGCATATCAGGACTGGCCATCTTGGAGATGCTCTTACTCAGTCATCTATTACAACAAGAGGACATAGTCTTAAATTAGAGGGGCAGAGGTTTAAAAATAATATCATCAGGAAGTATTACTTTACTGAGAGGGTAGTGGATGCATGGAATAGCCTTTCAGCGGAAGTGGTAGAGGCTAACACAGTAAAGGAGTTTAAGCATGCGTGGGATGGGCATAAGGCTATCCTAGCTATAAGATAAGGCCAGGGACTAATTAAATTATTTAGAAAATTGGGCAGACTAGATGGGCTGAATGGTTCTTATCTGCCGTCACATTCTATGTTTCTATCTATCCCTCACTATTTGGCCCTTGTCAAAGACACTCAGGTCTTTTCGCTAGCCTATTTTTCCTACTTCCAGCACATGAAATTCAAAACCTGACTGTTCATTTGCTGCCTAATATAGCCCACCTCTTGGCAGGTGCCGTTGTTGTGATAGATCGATAGATAGAAAGATACACACGAACACACTTATTTATTTTAAATATGGGCAAACTCCTGCTTATTGGGATTTATTAAGATCTGCTGGGATTTTGGGAGAGCAGATTCCCAGTATGCCAGCAGAATGCAAATATTATGACATAACATAAATAGAAAAATGAAAATGTTAAGCAGAATTGTTGGTAATCAGAGGCAAAATTCCCAGCACACTGCACGCAAACAGTATTAATTAATTTTAATTTTTTTTAAAAACATGCAGCAAGGTAGCGTCAGTTTTGCTAAATAAACATTACCTCATTGATAAGAGGGCCATTTACTCTAAAAAGGCAATATATTCATGACACATTGGAACAAGGTTGTTTAAAAAAAAATTAAAAAAAAATACATTACTTCTATGCTAGGCATTCCAATACACTTCACTGGTGGGCTTTGAATGATACATACCACATGCTTAAAAATAGAGCTCTCACATGGATCTGTGGCATACATAAGGGCCACCAAACAGCTAAGATGGTGGTTATAGACTAGTTATAAACGGCACTAGATGATTATGACAAACCTGCTATAAATAAAAATACCTTTACTGTTCAAAACAACTCTGTTGCCAGAGTAACGCTAGAGCTTCAATACGTCATTTAGATAATGTAATTACTATCCTTTAATAAATAAAACTATGACATCGTAACGCTGCCTTCCCTCCCCCCATCATATTAAACTGCTACACTACAGTAATATTTGTGGGATGATCCACACCTTCAATTTATTGTGTTAAATGAAAATATTAATCTGGTGAAGCATTTGAGGAAATGTATGAATTGGTTCTTTCAAATTTGCCAGCACAGACCTTGATATGGTGTGGATACTGTGTGTACAATCTCCGTTTAATTATAGATGATGTATCCCAGATGAAATACTACTTTGTTTGTGATCGCTTAGTAACCATAATAGCCTAGGCTATCTGAACCAGGAATCACTACAGAAAACAGCTTGCATGTGTTGGCACTGGAATTTTATTATAAACTGTACTAGCCACCTTTCGTATGGTTTTATTTATTATTTTTTTAAATTAACGAAGCATACTTTCTTTTCAAGCAGCACTTGAAACATTAAGAAATAGTTGTGTATTTTATAAGTTGCAAATTAAGTTTTTATTTCTAATAATTAAATATTATGCATATTAAAATATATATTTGTAATGTGGTGTGCTTGTTGCTTAGACATTCTTACGCTGAACATTAAACCATTTTAAAACGTAAAAGCTGAATTGCTTCCAGCAATGTAATGATTTATAGATCACTTTGAAGCGATGGGTCAGTTAGTGCATTTAACACAATCTGTAAAAATAGAGAAATTCCACCTGCTGTAATGTCACATCACATTGTCCAATCATCTGAAATGAATGTTTCTGAAGCAAGGAGGCGCCTTCTGACCTTATTACACTTCATTTGAGTCTTTCTTCACCAGCCCACGTTGGTGTCCTGCCAGTCATATGTTCTTGTCATTCTGTCACTACAGGGTAACAGGTGCAACAGCTAATCATATAGAATGCACAACTTTAAAGATTTTTGCAGCAATGGTTGTCAACGTCAGTCATTAGGGAACACTGTAAAAGGCCAGGCCAAAACTGTCAGAAAGAGTAAGTGTCCGTCTGACCCATCTGTGTACAAAGCAAGAATTTCTGTAAACTGTCCCCAGTTAATTCTATACAAAGGTTAAGAGTTGAGGTGAACCTTTTGACCACTGAGCTAATGTAACTAAGTTAGAAACAGTGTATTTTCATACATTTTAGAAATTACACTGGATGATTATATTCATGCTTAGCAGCTAGTTTCCCACGCCCTTTATTGCCCCCTTAATTCTCATGTTTTATTGGTAAACAGTAACCTCTGTTTAAAAAAAAATGATTTGGACTTATGACAGTCCAATTTTGATTCAAAGTTTTATCAACAAAGGCATACACAGCAATCAATGACAATTAACCTATTCATTAATAATTATTTATGTTAAACTAGCTTACCATAATGAATAATATATATATATATATATATATATATATATATATATATATATATATATATATATATATATATATATTGTTGTGGAAATAAGGTCTGCGCATATTTCCTAGATAGAGAAAATGTCTATTTACTCATTTCATGATATATATCGTATAAAGCTAAACACACATATTTTAATCAAGATGGCTGCTAGAAGCTTCTAATCCCTCCTTCCCCCCCCTCCTAACGTCGACTAACTACCTCGTGAATCAAGATGGTGCCGGGAAACCGTGGGAGACCCTCATGGCCCCGGTGACATCACCTACAGTAGGCAGAGCATTAGAGCAAGCACTTAACACCTAACCAATTGTTGATGTATTATTCCATGTTATCTCTGACAATGCATATGATGGAATTTTGCTTTAAAAGGGACTTGCCGTCCCCTCTGAATAAACTTTCCTCAAGTTATTCAACAACCTGGAACCTGTGTCTGGTGTGAATTACTTCAGGGAGCGTGCACGCATTGTTTCATTGATTTGGCCAGGGGCAGATACACAAAGAAATAATCAATACTTTAATTGATTTTTCCACTTCAATTGGCGCCCAACGTGGGGCCCACCGGAGAGCCGGTTCGGAGGGCCGGAACCAACGGACCGGAGCTGACCTCCGGAAAGTGGGACAAGCGGAGCCTGATCACCTCCATAATACAGCCGTTGCCTGTGTTATTCTCCTGTTTTGTGCCGGTCTGTCTCCGAGTCCACTTCCGGCTTCCAGAAGGCTACACGAGACAGGTAATTAACTCATCCGGTGCGCCCTTTTTAAGTGAACCTGTCGATTGTCTATCTGCCTCCTGTATTCATTTATGTGTGTGTGTTTATTATACCTTTAAGATATGTTCGCATTTTATATGTTTGCTTGACTGCCTAGCGGGCAGGGAACGCATTTTATATGTTTGCTTGACTGCCTAGCGGGCAGGGAACGCATTTTATATGTTTGCTTGACTGCCTAGCGGGCAGGGAACGCATTTTATATGTTTGCTTGACTGCCTAGCGGGCAGGGAACGCATTTTATATGTTTGCTTGACTGCCTAGCGGGCAGGGAACGCATTTTATATGTTTGCTTGACTGCCTAGCGGGCAGGGAACGCATTTCAGCCGGTGGGGCTGGGTTTTTATGTTTGCTTGACTGCCTAGCGGGCAGGGAACGCATTTCAGCCGGTGGGGCTGGGTTTTTATGTTTGCTTGACTGCCTAGCGGGCAGGGAACGCATTTCAGCCGGTGGGGCTGGGTTTTTATGTTAGCTTGACTGCCTAGCGGGCAGGGAACGCATTGCAGCCGGTGGGGCTGGGATTTTTGGTTGATTATTGCAGTATTTCCTTTGGTACCAGTGTTTTGCCGGGACCAGCCTGGTGGGTGAAGGCTGGGGATTGTTATACCCTGAATATCCGACACCGGTGGTGTTAACATGTACATGGCTATTTTGCTCTCTATCATTCTGTGGTTTCTGTTTAATTGTTGTTACAGTGTGGGTACCCTTGGTGTGTGTGTGTGTGTTGTGTGGTTAGTTCTGGATTCCGGAGTTTACGCTCATTTGTATGTTTGTGATTTTTGCAAATGTCTTCTCATTAGCGCAGCCACGTTCATTTTCTCCTTTGTTCTTTATCTCTCCTGTGCCTGTTGCCCAGAGCTGTGTTAGTCACCCACGCTCATTCGCTCCCGTCCGTGACCACCACCCCGGGTGGGCGGATCTCCGTGACTGGTCTACGTTTGGGGAAGACGCACGGGGCTCAAGTTCTCGTGGCAGTCGAGCACTGTAGACATTCTTTTTCCCTTATACTTACTATACTTCTTTGTCTTCCACGTGTGGCACGCTTTGGTTACTCAAAAATGGGACAGGAACACGCTAGACCTGCTAAGGGCTTGCTAGCTTGTGACATTGTGAAAGAAAGGGCAGGGGAAGATGCAATGTTGAAACTTAAAAAGATTGCTAAGGTGTGTGGTTTCCAGATGTTGCCCAGTGGGAGATTACAACCTGAGTTTTGGAGAAAAGCTACTCATAGACAAGGAAGGGTTGTTGTTGGATAATGGACTTACGAAAGTTGCAGAGGCTTGGTACCGGGTAGCTAGAGGTTTGAAACGGGAAGGATGGGTCGAGGAAGAACTGGAGTTTGAGGGGCAAGTTGTGTATGTTTATCACAGGAGTGTTCATAATGATGATGTTGTTTCTATTGTTCCACGACCACCGCCCTATGATGGCGCCCGGAGCGCAACACTTAATTCCCGCCCTGCTTCTCCCGTCACGACACAGACCCCACCCTCTGGGGGTGTGTCTTCAGCTCCCACTCCCCTGTGCCCCGTACTCGGTGCGGATGGTGCTTACTATTATCCAGTGCCACTTCACTCGTTCCCTCCTACTCCCATGCCTCAACCTTCCTATGACCCACCCCCCTCCATTAGCCATCCTTCTGTCATGCCTGCCGAAGCCCCTCCGCCTTCATGTCCTTCGCTACCTCTCCCAGTGACCGTCCCCGCTCCGGACCCTACCATGGCTTCCCCCACCTCACCCATTGAAGTCCCACCTTCCTCCTCCGCTTCCCTCTCAACCCCGAGTACCCCTTCCTTAGTAGCTTCCGTTCCCTCACCCTCTCCGTCTATCACACATCCAACTCCCCTAACCCATACCCTTTCCACCGGCCCTATTCCTCCGGATCTCTGTCTCCCCGCTGACCCAGGACCCCTCCCTCCCACGGCCGATTTGCCGTCCCTAATCTCTGCCCTCACCGCCCTGACCCAGCCCCCTGTTACCACCTCTCCTCCAGTGTTACCTCCTCCTCCCGAAGTCCCAGCCCCCTCTACCTCGTTATCCCTCCCTCCCACGGCCGATTTGCCGTCCCTAATCTCTGCCCTCACCGCCCTGACCCAGCCCCCTGTTACCACCTCTCCTCCAGTGTTACCTCCTCCTCCCGAAGTCCCAGCCCCCTCTACCTCGTTATCCCTCCCTCCCACGGCCGATTTGCCGTCCCTAATCTCTGCCCTCACCGCCCTGACCCAGCCCCCTGTTACCACCTCTCCTCCAGTGTTACCTCCCCCTCCCGAAGTCCCGGGCCCCTCCACCCCATTGCCTACCCCTCCACCGATTGGTTTACCGTCCCAACCCTCCGCCCAAGTTGCTCTGCCACAGCCCCTTGTTCCTATCCCTCCAACCCCTTCCCCAGCAACCCTTGACGCACCCATGTCTAATGACCTATCTACTTCAATATCCGCCCTTTTCACTGCAGTCACTTCCCTGGTTAACTCCGCGATCCCTGCGCTGCCTCCCATTGATATACCTCCTCCTCCTCCTCCCCCCGAGCCTTCGACCCCTCCCTTGTCTCCCGTTAATGTCCTCGAGCCTTCCGATCCAATCTCTGCTCTTGCTTATGTCCTAAACACCCACCTCTCACGGCCAGCCCCGCCGTCCCCCATGATGGCCCCTTCCACGGCTTTAGTTCCCCGTGCCCCTTCCGCCAGCACTA